ACAAACAGGAGCCGACAGAGTCTGGATCCACTCTGGTACCAGAGGACTAGTACAGTACTTCAGTTCTTTGTTAGGAGGTTTGGGAGAGAAAATAGAAACACACACACCTGCATCACAGTCAAACTGCCTCTCTCTCTCTCTCTCTCTCTCACACACACACACACACACATCTATACTTGCGTACCAAAAGTTCTGTTGAGACAAGAAAATAAATCCCAACGCCATTTTGTGTTTTTATTCAAAACTCAAAGGTCAACTTCGTTCTAACGTTGGTTTTCCTTTTATTTTTTTTTCAATTTACAGCAATTTGAAGTGTGACAAAAAATAAAAACAAAAAAATGGGCATAATAAAATTAAGAAATAAAAAATGTACACACCCTCACACACACACACACACAGAGACAAACCACCCTGGTTGTGGTTTTAGTGACTGTCCCGTCTTCACTTTTAGGACCTGGACTCAGAGAAAGCCTTCATGTAGCACCTGTCTAAACCCAACTGCACCCGTCTTCCAGGGTGGAGTGTGACTGTGTGGTTTGAGGCTAGTGGGAGTTGGGGGGTCCTGGGAGTGGGACAGGGTGTGGGGGGGTAACAGAACTCATAGCACCTTCTGAACAGAGCAACCCAAAGAAAGAGATGGCCTCCCAGCCTCAGAGCCACCTGAAAGCTAATGTGTTCTTCCGCTCAGATTTAAACTCCACATTTCACTTTGTTCTTCATCGTGAGGTAGCTTCAAACATTCTGGGTGACTACAGTGAGAAAAAAGGCCAAATCGATTTCCCTCAAATTCCTCAGAACAGGTTTTTTCTTGCACTGGGGCTCCCTCTGGTGGGCAGTCAAGGGGAACAGGACGCTGACACGTACGTCGTAAATGTAACCTCACTTTCCAAAAAAGTGTTGGTGTGCATATAGACACATGTACACATAATGTGGAATTATATATAAAACCATCTGGATGTTTATAAACACAGACCTTTACAACAATAGAACCAAGGATTTATAATACATGGACAGGCCTGAGTGGCCCCCGGGTGTGATTTGTTTTTTTCTTTCTTCTTCTTTTTTTGAGAATGTGAATGTCGTATTGGTCTACACTGGAAACGTTGCCTGTCGTACTAACAAAGTGAACCCCTCCAGTCCTACCTCAACTCTGCTCATTTAGGTTAGACAATAAATAAGTGACATCAAGTCATGTTTCTGTTTCTTGGTTTGTTTGGTTTTTTTTTTGTTTGTTTTTTTTTGGTCCCTCTTCCTCCTGGCTCTGACTCCTTCCTGTCAACAGTGGGCCATTGGAAACATGACTGGATCTCAGGGAGTGGGTTGACTGAGAATGCTGGTGTGGTGTGCAGAGATATTGCCGGTGCCCTTCAGTGCTAACATCCAGGGAGTACAACTTGGAGAGCACTTCGTTGTGACAGATAAAAAAAGTATCAATTTTCTTTTTTTTTTATAATTTCCAGTCTTCTTTTTGTGGAATTGTGTGTAATGTTTTATGGTTGAGTTTTATTCATTTCCTGTTTTTTGGGGCGGGGCATCGTGATACTCCACTTTACAAGAAGCAGACTGGGCCTAGATCCAATCCGAACTCCTGATTTGCTCCTCCGATGTCCATAGGAGCGATGTCTACGATTGGCAGACGAGAGGTCTTCTGTGTTCTGTACTCAAAGACAGTCTTGCCCCATCGGTCTGTGTGTTTCTGTGGGCGTTAATAGAAGTGTTAGTGACATTCCCGTGTGGTGAAACATCATCAGATATATTCATAATAATGGTTAAAATGGTTTTTCTTTTCTTTGCAGATGCTGCCTCTCACCTTGCATCCATCCTCCAACACACTGTATGTGAAGCGACTGTTTCCCTCCGGGCGGATCTCCACGTCGTTGTGTCCCTGCAGCAGCAAGGCCTTCTTCAGGTTGCCCGCGCTCTGGTCCATGTAGGCGATGCTGTTCTTGCAGTGGTATGTGAGGTTCTGGGAGGCCTCAGTGGAAAGAAGCCTCAAGAAGGTCAGCTGGACGTTGGCTGCAACAGCGGCGGGGCCCTCCTGAGCGTAGCTGAACTGTGGACGTAGAAAGGAAACCCAGTTGTGAGGTGAGCTTTGGGGTGAGTGGAGTTCAGTTCATCCAAAAGGTTTGAAAAATCAAATGAGGAACTCACGTGGAATCCTCCGTTCATGGTCTCTCCGAACCAGATGTGTTTGCGGTCCTTGCTCTTGCTGGTCCACCAGTTCTTCTTGGGCACCTTGGCGATGCTCGGGTGGACACAAGTCTCTCCTGTCTCCATGTCGCAGAAAACCTTCATGGCGTCAGCGATGGAGCCCAGGTTGGGGTCGACCCAGTAGAAGCCTGCAGAGCAGAGAGTAAGTAACGGACGTCAACCACAGCTTTGAACGTGATTTAAACCATAGATTAAATTAGGAGATACTGAGGAGCTGGAACCCAGACCATGAGATAAAAAAAACTAAACATTCTGTTTTTATTCTGTCAACTTTAATTTTTACTATGTAGAAAAAAATAACAAAAGGTCATTTCATACTGTGAACCTGTGACCTGTTCAATCTTCAGTCTTATGTACTGACTTGCAGTTCTAGTAGCCATTAGAAGTCTAGTATTAGTATCAATGGTAATGCCTTATTTCACAATTTTCCTTTTTTTTTTTGCTTTATTATTTTCTTACTTCCTGTTCTGGAAACATTTGAGTTAACGCCAGTTATGTTAGCAAACTAAATTAGCAATGTAAAGTACGGTTGCCATGACATCGTCGGCAGTTTGAACATGAATACTTTTATACTTTTAGTCTCGTATATTTTCTGAGGTTCTATTAAAAGTTTTATTTTAAGAGGCCAAAATTAGGGTTTTTGACCTTCAGGAACGTCCTCGTTAATTTAATCCTCGTTATATGTGATCGTTTGACGTGCAGCTCTAAAGCCCTGACCCTGGTTCCTCTCTCTGCTACTCACCACTCTTCCACTCGGGGTGGCACAGTTTCAGGTCGTTGCAGGTGCGTGCAGGGTTCTTCTGGGTGCCGTCGGGGCTGCGCAGGTTCTCGATCTGATTGTTCAGGGACTTGAGACTGGCGTCCACCTCAACGTCATGCTGCCTCAGAGAGCTGGAGGCCTCGTCGGCCCTCATGTACCTGAGAGGATCAGGGGACTTCTCGGTCTGACCCAGACCGGCAAAGGCTGACATGTCGATGCCCGGGCCGGGAGGACCAGGAGGACCGGGGGGTCCAGCATTACCAGGGGGTCCCTGAACCAGACGATTAGGAGAAGATTAACAGTTTGTATTAAAAAACATAATAGAAAGAGTAGAATATTTGGGTGTTTTAATGATTTTTTTTTGTTTTTAATTTCATGATACGTACAGCGGGACCTGATTCTCCAGAGCGTCCACGAGGACCTGGAGGTCCAATAGGGCCGGGCTGTCCGTTAGATCCATCTTTACCGGCCGGTCCACTTGGTCCAGCAGGTCCCTACAAACACAGTGAGTGTTCAATCAATCAAACCCACAAACACAGATGGTCATAAACCATGAATCTGTTTCTGAACCTGAGGTTTTTTTCCTGGTGCTTTTTCTGTCTTTGAATGAAACTCATTAAATTCTGCAGCAGCCAAACTCCCACTGGTGCTGTTCGCACTGAGATATGTGCGTGGCGACAGTTCCCTCCATTTATCTTATCGTGTACAGCGAGCAGCTAATTTAGATTATTGGAGTCATTTTTCCATTTTGAGTAGGAGTGCTTTTACACAAATCACACTCTGTCTTGCCTCGTCCTTGAAGAAGGTAATTACAGAATCCCTCGGCAGCGTTTATCTCATCACAGAAACACAGAATCGCTGCTCGTTTCTTTTCCTGTTCTTGTCTCTTCATTAACATCTCAAATCTACAGTTGTTTTTTTTAGAGCTGATGGAATTAAAAGTAAAAAAGCTTTTCACTCTCTCTGTCTTTGTTCCGACTCTTACCTTAGCACCGCTGGGTCCTGCAGGTCCAGCAGATCCAGCATCTCCAGGTGAACCCTGACAGGTGTGAAAACATGTGAGATGACAGTGGGAACGAGGGGGGGGGGGCATGTGATGTGACATGGGATAGATTTTTGGTCTCTTATTTACTCACAGGAGGTCCAGGAAGACCCTGGAGACCAGTGAATCCACGGTGACCCTTCTGTCCTCGCTCTCCAGCCTCACCGGCTTCACCCTTATCTCCACGTGGTCCTTGGGGTCCCTAGAGTCAGAAGTATTCTGTGTATTACTTTATCATTCTTCCTCAACTGTGAACTCTCTAAACTTTCATTCATCAATGTCAAAAATATAATGAAAAAAAAACAACCTAGGATTTAATTTAGGAATGAGTGAAACTCACAGCGATACCCCTGGCTCCTGCAGCTCCAGGAGGTCCAGCAGGTCCTTGAGCGCCCTGGAGAAACAGACGTGTTGTTGTTGTTGTCGTCGTCGTTGCTTATATACATCAACATCACACTGTGTCATTCGGCATCTCTGTATTTCCCACTGACACGTCCTCTTGTACTTACAGACTCTCCTCTGTCTCCCTGCTTGCCGAGGGGTCCGACTGATCCGGGGGAACCAGGGGCACCAGGAGCTCCAGGGGCACCGGCAGGACCAGTATTACCACGTTCTCCCTGAAGAATTGTAAAAAAAAAGTTCAGGACAAAGGACAACAGCAATGTCTGCAAAACAGACGGATCTGGTACAAGTCTCACCTTTACACCAACAGCTCCATCACGACCTGGAGGTCCATCTGACCCAGGAGTTCCCTGAGATAGAAGATCAAAACTAAATACAGCCATCATGACAGGACTATGATTTTATATAAAAAATAAAATAAAGAGAAATGTGATTCAGATGTATTTGAAAGGTTCTGACCTCTCTTCCAGTTTCTCCAGCAGGTCCTGTAAGTCCAGGTGGTCCAACAGGTCCAGGGGGTCCACGGTCACCAGAAGAACCAGGACCTCCCTGTTTACCAGGCTCCCCCTACAGACGAAAACATGTTTCTGTGTTTTTAAATAACATTAAGATCTGAGATAACCTTCAGACTTTTCTTCATCACAAGCCAATGTACAGTGAAATACTACAGTAATTCTACTGCACTTTTCTAGTTCCCATGAAGACTCACTTCAGCCTGCAGGTTCTGCTATCTACATATGTCAACATGCATTTAAATGTTAGCCTGTAAAGCTAACCGTGACGCTGCTATCATTCCAGTAGGTTAGAAACCCGTTGTCATGAACGTGAGCACTTACAGAAGGTCCAGGAAGACCAGGGAAACCTCTCTCTCCACGTTGTCCGGGCAGACCTACAATACCACGGGATCCAGACAGACCCTGAGGACCTAAAGGTCCATCAGCTCCCTGCGCGGTGAGGAAAAGTTAAGGTTAAGTCACACGATTACGACATTTTCATTCAAGTCATTTTGAGTTGATGTTGGGTTGAATTGATACTCACAGGTGGTCCATCCTCTCCAGGCTCTCCCTTCTCGCCTTGTGCACCAGGTGCGCCACGAAGTCCAGCATCTCCATGTCTCCCTGGAGGTCCAGCATCACCACGAACTCCCTTTGGTCCGTCTTTGCCAGCAGGTCCGGCAGGACCAGCAGGACCGGGATTTCCCTGGGATGGGAAGACGCAGAAGAAGCAAAAGTAAATGAATGGAGTTCGTTAGGCATCTGGTCCAGGTTGGTTATGGTAATGTGTCATCTGGTAAACACTCACGTTTGGACCAGGTGATCCAACTCTGCCAGCAGCACCGGGGAATCCGGTGGCACCCTGTCAAACAAACAGTTGATCAAACATGGGAAATCTTTCTGTTGTTTTCATTAATCATTATCTCCAAACAAACAGTTTTAGTTTTCGTATTGATGTAGTTTTACTTACAGGTGCTCCCTGAGCTCCACGGGCTCCTTTAGCTCCTGTCACGCCAGTTGGTCCCTGGAAAAGATGACACAGAATTCTTGTTTTTAAAAAGTGATGACTTTTATTTTGCCAACAGAAATGATCCCCAACCAGTGTGCTGTGGAAAATGATCCACTTTCATGTAAGTGCTCTGAAAACTATTTACTGCAAATAATTTGTCTTGGTTTGTCGATAAGACAGTTAACAAGCACCACTAGGTGGCAGCATATGGTTATAAAAACTAAAAAGAAAACAGAGAGATACTCAGTGTGGTTCAAAGTCTTTGTCCGTGTCTTTCTTCAATTCCTGTGAGCTAATCAAGTTTGTGTTCAACTAAAGAGGCCCAGGTTTTACACTGATTTGTAAGTTGTGGATCATTTGAAACTAGAAGATCTTTATATTTCATTATATATATTTTTTGGGACATTTTTGTTTGGTGCTCAGTGGGATTTATTTAGATAGAAAATGCTATGGTTCAAAAATAGTTGGGCAACAGGGACCTACATCGTGGGGGGTGGGAGGGGCAGTAATTTGTCTCAGGTTTTAGATGGTAACATAAAAACTGATTTGATGTTCAAAACCCACCACAGGTCCAGGAGCTCCAGATGGTCCCTGAGGTCCAGAAGAACCAGCCTCTCCCTTCTGTCCACCTTCACCAGTTTCTCCTTTGGCACCGGGCTGACCATCTGCCCCCTGCAGGTCACAAACAACACAGCAAAATTATAAGATGAATGATATCCATGAAAAAAAAAACAAAAAACTTTTTCTATGTATTTGAATTCACTTACAGGGGGTCCAGCGAAAACAGCAGGTCCAGGAGGTCCGATTTCACCACGGTCACCCTGGATCAATGAAAGATGGTTAGGATTTTTTAAAAAACATTTATTTAAATACTGTTTTATTCAGTCTGTTTAAGACAACAAAAATACTAGTCAGAAAATGTTCTGATACAGATACTCACAGGAGCACCGCGGGAAATAGTAGTCAGAAAATGTTATACAGATACAGATACTCACAGGAGCACCGCGGACACCAGGGGCACCACTTGGTCCACCAGGTCCAGTCTCTCCCTGGATAATGAGAAACAGTCAGTCAGAGTGCAAGGAAAATAACAAAAAATATTAAAGTTAAATTTTATTATTAGAAACATCCAAACAGTTCCAGTAACACTGTTCTTCCTACCTTGGCTCCGTTGGGTCCAGATGGTCCAGGAGGACCGATGGGACCAGTCAAACCCTGAGAAAACAGATAAAACGGGTAAGACATGAGTTGGTGAAAAATGGTGAAAAAGGAAATTCTTTTTTTTTTTAACAAATATGTAATTGGAGAGATGTATTTAGTACGTACTCTAGCGCCATCTTTTCCTGGAGCACCCTCAGGTCCCTTTTGTCCATTATCACCCTTTGAAAAAGAAAGAAGGTTAAAAAACACATTAAATACTGACTTGAGTACTTACTGAACTATATATATATTTTTTCTAATTAAAAATGGTACTGCATACACTGGATTGGTATCATATCTGTTGCCCGTTTTCCCAAACTGACTCAGTCGACTACCAGGTTTATATAATGTCACTCACTCTGTCTCCTTTGGCTCCTGTGATTCCAGCAGCTCCTCTCTCTCCTGGCATTCCTTGCAGGCCCGGTGGACCCTGAGGTCCAGCAGCACCAGCTGGTCCAATGGCTCCCTGAATGGGAACGAGGAGCTCAGTTAAGAACGTTGATTTTCTTTTTCTATTGTCTTGATGCCCAGTCTTTGGGAATGACTTTTATAAGCAAGACTAAAAAGTAAAAATGTTAAATAATTCAGTTCCCTTCCATTTGAAACTGCAGTTTTAAGCCTTTAAAAAATCTCATAAAATTATGTTTTTATTTTTTAAGTATTTTTTTTTTACTTTTTATGACCTTGTTTGTTGCCTGAACAGCTAAGATAAAGAAAATTGGTCAAACCAGTGCAGTGTGGTGGATATACCAGTAGGGTGTTTAAAGCTTTTTTTGTGGTGTAGTGTAATTAATGACCTTGGATCCATCACTTCCAGATGTTCCTGGGAGACCACGGGGTCCCTGAAGACCCTGAGCACCGGCACCGCCCCTCTCACCAGGGAAACCACGTTCACCCTGTGGGGGGAGAACCAGAGCTTTAGTAGCAGCAAAGAGAACGTTACATGTTTCCAAACATTGACGAAAAGCCTGGAGATGAAACTCACTCTTGGTCCAACAGCACCAGGAGCTCCGCCCTCTCCAGAAACACCCTGCAGAGAGGAAACAACAGCAGCTCTGTGTTAGTCGTTCACTGACAGGTGAGTGGAAGACGAGAAGTCAGAATTAAATCTGTATCTCAGTGTTTAGGGCTCCCCCTGGTCACCCACCTGGTCTCCAGGTTTTCCATTTTCTCCCGGGGGGCCAGTTGGTCCAGGCAGGCCCTATAAAAGAACAGGAATGAGTTCTTGGAACTGATGGATTGACTGGGCACCGACTTTTAATAATAGTAAAGGAACTCACCTGGAAGCCAGAAGGACCAGGCTGTCCTTGTTCTCCTCTCTCTCCAGCAGGTCCCTGTGATGATGACGATGATGATGATGATGATGATGATGATGATGGAGAAGAAAAGTACTTTATTATTATCCTGTGATGGAGAGTCACTCAACACACGGCCCATGTGACCAGGGCAGGTGAAAGTGTCAGTGGACAAATGTGGGGAAGTGAACTCAAACACTTACAGAAGGTCCAGGAGGTCCAGAAGATCCGGTCTCACCATCTTTTCCAGGCAGACCCTGTTCACAAACAAGAACTTCAGCTGTGACAAATGAACTGGAGAAAAAAAAAATCACAGAACAGGAGTGAAGTTTGGACGAAGGTTCTTACTCTCAGTCCAGTACGACCCACGAGACCCTTCTCTCCTGGTTTTCCAGGTTCACCCTGTGGAGGAGAAATCACATGATCATCGGTGGGTGTCATCCAAGACCCCCGGGGGGTGAGGGCTTCATCGAGGTGAAAGATATTCCACCGTCATCACACACTCACATTTGCTCCCTTTGGTCCAGGGAATCCCATCACTCCTGGCTGACCACGAGCTCCCAGAGGACCGGGGGGGCCGGGGCGACCATCCTCACCAGAGGCACCCTGTTAGAACAAGCAGGTAAAATCTATTACTTTAAATTCATACATATATTGAATGTTTTTGTTTGCATGCTAATTATGATCCTCCATGTGCTAATAATAATTATGCTAGCAGTTAGCATGACAAAAAAAGAAGGCCGTCAACAACCAGAAAGCTATGATCTGTACTATAGTTATACTCTGAACTATACTACAGTTCCTCCAGTATATTATGACAGGACAAAAACAACGATAAGTGTTTTTTGTTTGGACCATTTAAAATGACTTTAAGGGCCAGATTTGACCCGTAGGCCTTAGGTTTGACACATTTGCTATTGCTATTGCTATCACAGCCATGTCCTGTGAAGGAGGAGGATACCCAGCTGGGTCAGGACCCATACTTACAGCAGGTCCAACTTTGCCCTGAGGACCAGCATCTCCGGGTCGACCAGTGAGACCCTGCCAAAAACCAGGAGGTTTTGTTTAGAATCACAGATTTCAAATAGATATTTTATTTGGTGTAATTAATCAAACGGGTCAAACTCACTCTTGCTCCGGGGAGACCGGATTCTCCAGTGCGACCTGGGTCTCCAGAAGCACCTTTAGGCCCAGCAGCACCAGCGACACCACGGTCACCAGGAGCCCCCTGAAGCAGAGGAGAGGACAGAGTCAGGACAGTCTTAGAGGTTAAGAGAATTTCTTCCAGGATGATAGAAATAAGAACCTGGAGTCGGGGGCTATTAAAAGATTCTACCCTGGACCCACCTTAGCACCAGCGAGACCATCCTGACCAGGGAAACCACGGTTACCAGGAGCTCCCTGAATAGAAAATCACACAGAAAAATATTTTTATATTAATACGTAATAAAAAGAAATCACTTTTTCAACAATTTACTGTAAATATAAATACTGACTCTCTCTCCTGGTGGTCCCAGTGGACCGGCAGCTCCAGGTTCTCCTCTGGCTCCTCTCTTTCCTTCCTCACCTGCGGGGCCTGGGGGGCCTTGAGGACCAGCAACGCCCTGAAAAAAATATAGGTGAATCACATGAAATATATATTTTTTTCAAACATGATTTCTATTTAATCTTGTAATCAACTCACCAGTTCTCCCTTAGGTCCAGCTTCACCTTTGAATCCAGGAAGACCAGGGTCTCCCTACACAGGTCAACGAAGAAGAAAAGGTTAAACATCGTACACAAACTCTCAGGGGTTTCTCAGAGTTTTATTACGAGGCCGTAAGAAACTTACAGACTGTCCCTTAGGCCCAAGAGATCCAGTGGCTCCCTGTGGTCCAGGTGGGCCACGAGGGCCGGGGAATCCAGGAGCACCAGCGATACCTGAAGCACCCTTAAATTATAGAAGCAAAGAGAATAATTAGAAATTATAATTAATTATTATTATAATTCTAATACTCACTGACGTGTGTTTGGATCATATGGAACTTACAGCAGATCCTTTAGCTCCAGGAATACCATCGGTACCAGGGTTACCCTAAAGATGCAATTACAATTACAGGGTTAGTCCAATGGTAGTGAAGTATAAATATTTCAAAGTATAAATGTAAATACTCAGATGGAGCGTACCGATGCACCAGCAGGTCCTGGAGATCCTGGTGTACCACCCTCTCCACGAGGTCCCTGAGCGCCCTCTGCTCCACGGGCACCAGTAGGACCGGCCTCTCCCTGACAGGAGGAGATACATTTATTATTTTTTAAAATCAATGGAGAATCATCATAAATATATATATATAAATGTACAACCATTAAAGTAATCAGTAACTAGTTTTTCCCCAATAGTTTTCCTTCCATAGCTGTGGGGCCCATGTTCGGGTCACAACCCACCATTTGAGAAACACTGCCAATTAACTTCAGATTGTGTTTGTGCTGGTAGGACCAGTGTGGTTCACACTAACCTTGGCTCCAGGGGATCCTGGGAAACCGGGTGCTCCAGCAGGACCAACAGGTCCCTGTGAGAACATGGGAGATCATCTCAGGGTTAGGATGACATCAATTAATGACTGTGATGTTAATGATTAATGAATATACTGGTTGTGACACGTACAGGTGGACCAGAAGGACCGGGCAGACCATCATTTCCACGAGCTCCCTGGAAAAAGAAGAAGAAAAAGAAGAAGAAGAGGAGGAGACGCCTGTCAGGTTCTATCATCATAACAAAGTGACCGCAGTAACACTGCTGATAAATGGACACTAGGTGGAGTGACGTAAACACTTACTGCAGCTCCAGATGCCCCAGGACGTCCTCTCTCACCAGGCAGACCACGTGGGCCCTGTGACATGAAGATACAGCTCATAAGTCCCTCAACGTCTACTACAAATAAAAAACACCTTCTGCTGCTCTGTGACATCCAGAATCATCTCACCATTGGTCCAGCAGATCCGTTCTCACCAGCATTTCCGGATTCTCCCTGGTAACAAAAAATAAATTGAAAAAAATATTTAAAAACAGATGATAATTTAAAATATTACTAAAAGAAATGTGATTTTTATACCTTGGCTCCTGCAGCACCGGTCTCTCCCTTGGCTCCATCCAGACCAGGATGACCCTGCAGAGACAGTCACGTGGTCAGGGGTGAAGAACCGGGACAGCATCATCCAGGGATGCACTTAGAAAAGTCTAACAAGGGCTGGCTGATGCTTCGGTTTGGTGCCACCTTGTGGTCATGTGCTGCATCACTCTTCATCACCTCTTCTAAACTTTCACTCTCTACTGTCTTGACTTTTTTTCATTTTTAAAAAACATGCTCAGAGATTTTTAAACTGTGGCCACTTCCGCCCTGCAGGGGGCGCCACTGTTTTCATCAAAGTAGCAGTGAAGCTTCGATCACTCACTCTGTGTCCTTTGATTCCAGGAAGTCCAGGAGTTCCAGGGAATCCACGAGCTCCCTGGGATTCAAAGAAAAACAAAACAATTGATTCATCTTTGTTGCCTTTGTACGAACCCTGATGGGCTGCACCAACGTGGGCCCCGTGATAGGCTGCATCAACGTGGGCCATGATCTGCAGTCCACTCACCTGAGGTCCTGCAGGTCCACGCTCTCCAGCCTTGCCAGGTTTGCCAGACTCACCCTGAGGACAAACAGGAAGTAGAGGAAACAGTCACAGCAGGAAGAATGAGGCTAATGTTCTCAAGAGGAGGTCAGTGACCCTCTGATGGTACATGTCATTTGTATTGAAAAACAGTCTCCAACCACCAGGTTGTGGACCAGTAACAGGCCATAAGATATTTGGTATTGGACCACAAAAAACAATTAATTATCAGTGTGAACGATGATTTATTTGGAAAATGATTTTAATATAGTTTTTTTCCAAGATCAGACTGTAGTTACATCACAAGACATTTGTGAAAAAGATTATTTTCATCCAACACTTTTATTGTAGTCGGACCAAAAAAACATACAAACTGTTGTTTGACACTTACATCACTTCCCCATTTTCCAGAAGGTCCAGCTGGTCCACGTGGTCCCATTGGTCCCTGAGAAGAAAAGGTAAAGAAATGATTTTGTCATTTTTATTTTTTTTAAATATTCTTTCTCATATTATTTTATTATATTACAACAAACTGCCATAACATTGAAGTATTATTAATCATCTGTGAGTTATGATCCAGTCCATTTGGAATAGAAACTGATCCGGATCATGGTCCATTTATTAAAAGTTAGCTTTTAGCTAATATTAGCATTCGTATTGTTTAGGAGTATCCTGAGTATTACTGCAGTATGCAGCCAGTGGGCGCTGTATGTGACAGCAGTGGTTTCTCTGTATTAGCCAGGTTCCAGTTCTGACTACTTACGGCTGCACCGGGCTCTCCAGCCTCTCCTGGAGCACCTTGGAAACCCTGGGGACCCTGGAGACACGGAGAAGAAGTCGAAGAATTGTGAGGAACCTTCCAGACGTTACTTCACTGGACTCTCAGAGTAAATAATGACTGTCTGTACTTACAGGAGCTCCAGAAGGTCCGGGTGGGCCACGAGGTCCCATGGGTCCCTGCAGGAGAAACCACGTTAGTAATCACTTTATATTAATTAGCGTTTACAGAATATATCTTATCATTTTTTACCAAACAATGAGACGGATTAGAAATCGAATAGAAATAATATATAATTTAAATTCAAATAAATATTTAAATGAAAATTAAATATATCACATAGAAGTGAGAAAGTAAGAGATAATCTCAACAGTCAACTTGTGATAAAACAAAGCTATTTCTTCATGTTGGCTGTTGTGAGACCTGTTCGCCACCAGATGGCAGCATTGCCTACTTCCAAAAGAAGACGCACAGTTTACTACTTAATTTACAGCTCAATTCTAGATCTCAGTGGTTATCTTTTTTGGTTAGTGCTTTTCAAATGTTACTGAAGATAATTGAACATAAATAAATAAAAATAACAGATAAAACAGTCAGTCATACCATTGGTCCCTGCATCACTCCCATCTGAGCTCCTCCAGACTTCTCATCAAAACCTCCTGCCATCTGAGCAGCAAAGTTCTGAATGTGGACAAAACACAGAGAACCTCAGTCACGTGAACTCATAACAACAACAATAATAATATACCTGTGCACATTCGTCGCAGATCAAACTACGTGTACTGAATGAGGACAACTGTGGATTAAAACCTAAACTGTACAATGTTGTTGACACTCTGTGACAGAAGTGGCCTGAACACTGACCCCTCCAAGTCCTGGTGGTCCGGGAGGTCCAGGTGGTCCGGGGTTTCCAGGGGTGCCAGGCTCGCCATCTCTTCCTCGAGGTCCAAGATTTCCCTAGGGAAAAAAGAAACCCTCCGTGAGTCACATGTCACAAATTCCCAGATGGAATGAAAAACTTCCAGGATTGTGTTTTTGTGTCGTCAGCGCTGGTGTTTGATCTACTCTACTTTAAGCTGAAACTATTTTCTCTGCTTGGATTTTCCCATAAAGAATTTAATTTTTTTTTTCTTTTTTACCTTGTCACCTTTAGCACCGGCTTCTCCACGTGGGCCCTGATCACCAGAGGGGCCCTGTGAAAACACAAGACACAGAGCAACCATCTCAGTAAGTACTGGTTCAAAACATGTGTATAAATAAATAACAGAAAATAGAAAAACAAATGAGAAAATATATTATTTATAAATACATATATGTTTATTGTTTACCATGGGGCCCGGTGGTCCTCTTGGTCCTACAACCTGCAGAGTCAGATCAGAAGAGAAGGTTTAAGTTTGACTGCATTAAAAATATATATTTATGAAATATTAAATTAGTCAAAAGGTCTGAAAAAATTGGACCCGATTTTATTAGGTGTCTATTGGACCGTACATGTTTTAGTACAACATCGCCTCCTGTTGACCTCTCTCATGGGTCACTTTGATCACAGACAAAGTTACTGAGCTGAACTGATTGGACTCATTATGTCCCAGGAATGTGGGATTTGTCTTAATTTGATTAAAAAAAATGCTCCAGTTTGTCAGAAACTGTTGCTCTAAGAACGAGAAGACAAAAAGAGATAAAAAAGAGACTTGAATCTCTGATGTTTGTTTGTAGAAATCTAATCTAAAAAGTTTGTTGTCACGTATAATAACATGAAGTATTTAGTCATATTTTCTATGTACAAAGAGATAATGTCATGTTCTGCCCGGGAATCGTACTCACATCTGCGATATCTCCAGGTTCACCTTTCTGGCCCTGGTTTGAAAGATTCAAAACAAAGTAACGTCAGGAGTCTGAAACCCACCACATGATCCGTCACTCAGTGTAGCTCAGATGAAGTCTTACCTTAGCACCGATCGTCTCTGTGGTCACGGGTGGACGAAGACGAAAAGACAGAAGAACACAGTTATTCAACACGTCACTCAGGTGCAGTCATGTTAAAATAATAATATAAATAACTAAAAATAAAATAAATAAAAATACTGAGTGAACTGTAAAGAAACCTCTGGGAATCAAACACCTTTCACCAACCACAGGAGACATGAACCCATCCAGATGATGTTAATGGTTAGATGAAGCAGGATGAACGTATGTTGACATCACATGGTGTTAACATACTGCTAGCACAGGGTTAGCAGAGTGTTAGCTTAGCTTGTTGAGCAAAAATAATTATCTAAATAACTGTTGTTTAGATAATTAATTTAATGAAAAACCTTCACAATGTATTGACAGTGTCATTCATAAAAAGATAAATTAACAATTGACTTTGAAGAAAATTTGATTCATTTCCTGATTTCTTTTTTTTTTTAAATCTGAGTTTTGGTTCAAATAAGCACAGGTTCAGGTTTGGACCAGAACACGACAGCATCCATGTTGATGGTGTTGCTGCAGAACTGGTGCTGACTGAGACGGAACATGTGGACGGTCACTTCAGAACAGGGAACAGCAGGTGGCAGCGGAGGAACATCTCAGTGAATCTAAAGCCAAATCACAGATTTTTTTTTTTTTTGTAGAAATCACAGCTCGGTTCTATTTCCGGTGCACGGCCCCGTAGGAGTACGGTGGTTCTAGACCGTGTGGCCCGGTTCCCTGTTCAAAAGCCTGAGCCAAGAGGAAGGTAAGTGCAAGCTATTAGAGTAATTTATTTATAGGTGTGTGAATAAATAAATTACAACCAGTGGGGGCGCTGGCATCAGCAGGGCAGATGGGACAGCACTCTCCAGATGGGATGACCGGGTTGGCACACTCTCTGATCTCCTCGCAGATTATCTCATCACACAGAACCGCTCCGCTGTCGCACACACAGATACGACACGGCTCGGGCTTCCACACATCCTTATCATTATACAGCTGGCCGTCCTGTATGCAGCCACCTGCCTCCTCTGGTGGTGGCCAGCAGGGGGACAGCAGATGGGTGAGAGCAATAGTAAACTTTTGAGTGAGTTTTTTTTTTAATAATAAAAAAAAAAATATATATTTGTCAGGAAGATACTGATACAGAAAGGAGTCCTGAAATAACAGGAAGTAAGAGAGTCCGAGGGCGGGGGCAGGAAGTGGGGGGGGGGGGGGGGGACCGGGGGGGGTAAAGGGGGAGAAGGGGGGAAGGGGGAAGGATGAATGAGGAAGATGGAGAAGAAATATATACAAAATTCCATGAAATATTAATATGAATCAAAACTAATATTTTTAGAAGTGACTTTCACCACCGGGGGAACTGGACAGAAATTTATGAACAAACATCTGTTTGACACTGAGGAGAAATTATAAAAAATAAAAGTCAAAGTTTAAGGGAATCAAAAAAATATTATGTTTCATGTGTTTTTTTTTCTTCTTCCAGCAGAGACTTTAACACCGACGGAGACGACAGTGGACGTCTGTGTCCAGAGCTGCAGGTATGAATGAGTCCCTCTTACAGGGATACTGTGGCCTATTGACAAGCTGCTGACTTAAGTAAACAGTGGGGGTCCGACTGAATTTCTCCATCTGGGTCACATGACTGTGTCAACCGCCAGTGCAAACACACGGGGGTAATTAGGACTGGACGACTGGGTTAATGTTGTGGTGCTGCTGAATTTATATTTTCTAACATGTTCGGACGTCACATGATCGCGGACCACTTCCTGACGGGGGTCTCTGCTCAGGCTTTCATGTCTCCACCCAGGTCTGGTGGTCTTCTGGGTCCAACTGTGACCTGAAAGTTCACAGCTGTCCTCTGTCCTCCTGTCTTTTTTCAGCTCTTTGAGTCGGCAGTAAAAACTCAAGAGAATGTCCAGTCAAATCTCCCCCCTGTGGTCAGTTCTGTTTATGTATAATAAATTAAACAAAATCAGTTTGGGTTTGTCCTGTTGATGAAAATGTAGGAAAAAATATTTATTTATCAATTTAAAGTGCACCTCAAAGTTGTTGTTTTTTTTTACGTTTATTAATTGTTACTTTTACGTTTTTTTAAATCGTCTGTGTCTTATTGTCTTGCTCATATCTCCGTCTAAACTCTGCCGCGACACAAACAAATTTAAAAATGTCAAAAAATCCAATTCTGTTCTCTCAACTCTAAACGTTGTCTACAGTTACAGGAAACAGGAAAGATAAATCTGAGGAGACAGACCCTGCTGAGGACAAATGGACACTTGTTCTCCTGGTGCAGCGTCCCACACAGGTACCCCTGCACTGCCTCACCCATCCTCACCCATCCTCACCCACTGTTGAAGACTTCTTCAACAACATAAAATCACATCTCTGTTTTCCATCTTCTTCTTCTTTTGTTTCTACAGTTTCCCCTCTGAAAGTCCGGCGTTCACAGAGGTGACATTCAGCGTCGATAACAGTCACGTGAGTAACAGCTTGTATTTTTTTATGGAAAAGTAGTAGAAGAAGAAGAAGAATAGAAAAGGAAAAAAAAACGTTTCAACTTACGGTCGTCTTCTTCCTGACATCTGACCACGGCTAGTAAAACAAGTTGGGATGCTACGAGTAGCAGAAGAGTCCTTGAATCCACAAAGCTGAACATGTCTAAATGTTAGACATGCAGGAGCTCGGGTGAGAAGTGAAGGGATGGGGGGGAGACCAGACTCTCACTCAGCGGTGCTGTAGGCGTTTTTGTTCCTCGAGACTCAGGACACCATGCAGTCAAAACTCTAAGTGGAATCCAACACGGGGCCCCCAGCTGGCACTCTGCACCCACCGCGTCAGGGCAAGCACAGCGATTTTATGTCCACTGTGCCTTGTATGGATCTTCGTATATTCCGAGATACCAGTCCTTCCCCCAGACCCCCCGTCAGGCTGAAACCCGAGCCTCACCTCCCACCCCTTAATCCAGCAGCATCCACTCTCCCTGGGATTTTTTTTTTTTAACCCCAGCCCTCCTTCCTCCCTTGACCTGCTTGGCCTGGGTGGTCAGAAGATGCACCTTCACTTTCACATTTAAGAGCGAGCTACAAGCAACAGGTCAAAGGTCACGACGTCTGACTGGACGACATGAGCGGGAAAAAAAAGTGTAGAGAAACTTTTAGGAATTAAAAATGACTAAAACGTGACTTTTGTAACAAAATAATTGTAAAACAAATCAAAATTCATTTAAAAACAAAGTCTAAAATATATAAAATAATAAAACTAATAATACAATTATTTTCCATACTATTTTAATATTATGTATATTTAATATGAATGAATCTTGGACATAACAAACTAACTCTACTGTATGTAAGATAATATATATATATATATATTTTAGTTTTTAATTCAGTGTCTTCGTTTGATTCTCAGATTATCTTTAAACCCTTAAAAATCCTTTAACTGTGGACGGACTTTTTTCTCTGGTGAACTTTTGACTCTTCTTCTTCTCAGTCAAAATTCTAGACTTTTCGTCTGTTTGAACTAAGGCCGTTGACGAGTGGCTGTGAAGTCCAGTTAAATCGGACGTTCAACTTCAGCTAATAATAATAAAAAAAAAAACAAGTTCCTAAAATTCCTAATGATGGAACTTCATGACCAGCTGGGAATAAACCCACGTCCACTCACTCCAGGGACAGATGATGAAAGTGTCTGTGGGATTCTTTATCAAACAGTTCTCCAGTGGACAGGACCAGGTGAGAGAGCCTGAAAAGGGGTCTTTGTCAGGTGGGGGGAGGCACAGTCATTCCGAGGGTCACGACCTGTCAGACGGCTCCTTCATTCCACATACAGAAAAGAAGGGATTTGAGACGCCGAACCCATTCCCTGTCCACCGTAGCCCTGACCTTTGTTTGAGACAGACATATTGGACGGTAGTCCTCCGTCACCGGGGGTCTCTGAGCTCCGAGGGTCTCCAGGTTTAGTGGGGGAAAGAAAAGTTTGTTTTACAGGTGCAAATGTTTGAAGAATTTTAACGGCCAGCTGAACCAATCATGTTCTGTCCCTACAACAGCAGGGTACACAGTGGCAAGGGGGGAGGAGAGGGGGGGGGGGCAGTTAACTGAGTCACATGACAGTGAAGAGGGACAATTCTGTCTGAGGACACTTTACAGGACAGACAGAAGGACAGACTGATGGTCCAGAGGCCGTCATCATGTTTATTTTGCTGCAGACTTTCATTATTTGACCTTTGATCTGCTGCATCGTTCTCCACGTTCTTCACAGTGTTCTCAGTAAAGAACCCAACACTGGAGCAGCAGCAGCAGCAGCAGCAGCGGCGGTGTCCATGTCCGTGTCCAGGTCCTCACGTCCTCTCCCTGCAGGACTCTGACTGTACGCTGCCTTCATCTGTCTGCCGACACACAATAGGCCTCTGTGCTCACGGCCCTCGGAATGCTGTGAGATGGCAGAGGAGTGGGATAGCTGCAGGGTGAGGATGGGGGTTGGTGGGTGAGGAAAGGTGTGGAGGCTGGGTGGGAGAAGGAGAGAGGGGGTGAGGGGGTGAGGGGAAGAAAAACCAGGACTGTACGGGTGCACCGAGGCTCCAGAGGTCTACAGGGTGTCCAGGTTTCAGCTACTAACTGACCGCAGTGGAGGGGTGGCCGTGGTCGACTGTGTGTACACAAGTTAGTGTGTTAGTGTGTGTGTGTGTGTGGGGGTGGGGGGGGAGACGGGGGGGAGGCAGCAGGGACAGATGGGACAGAGGTGCCTTCAGTCTCACGACAGACACTTTAGAGTCAGAAACTTGATCTGCAGAGAGAAACAAAGTTACTGAAAAAAGAAAAATAGAAAAGAATTTAATTTAAATTAAATTAAAGAACAGAAACCCAGCAGGAGCGACCCCTACAGGGGGATACCAGGTCTGACATGTTCTGGTTCTGACCAGAACCATCAGAAAAGTGAATGAGGTTTGATGATTGGATGAAAACATTTGAGTTGAGAAAAGAGGAGAAATGAATAAACCAATAAATTAACTCCACTTATTCTAATTAAACCAAAACAACTTAGGTCTCATGGACTGTAATCTAATCTAATCTAATCTAATCTAATCTAATCTAACTGACCAAATCTATTAAAAATGAATCAAATCAAATTGAATCACATGGAGTCAAACTGACCGAATCTATTAAAAATGAATCAAATCAAATTGAATCACCTGGAGTCAAATCGACTCTGTTTTTCTCCAGTATATTTTCATAATTCATGGATCTGATCTGATCTAATTTGATCTGGTCTGGTTTATTCTAGTCTAGTCTAGTCTTGATGCTGGTGCTGGATCTGAGTCTGTTCAGCTGAGACTCCAAACCCACCAAAAAGATCAGTGTTCTGTCAGAGAGCGTCTGGTTTGAAGGTGGAGACGACCTGCTGAGGAACTTCCTGGATCAAGAAACAGGAGGAAGTCTTTGGTTGTAGAAAATAACAAGTAAAAAGTCGGGATTTGTTGATTTTCTGACAATGAAAGAACTGAGTCTGAGTCTGAGTTCACGAACTCCACGTTAGTTTTTAGTGAATTCCTGTCACTCTATGATTTTCTACATGAACGTCTCATATTATGGGATGGAGGAGGTTCAGGTGATGAGGAGGAGGAGGAGAGAGAATCAGGGCAGGAAAACGTGTTGTTTTGATTCAAAAATACATCAAAAGTGAATTTAAATTTTGATCCTGGAACACCTGGATCACCCCCCAACCCCCCCCAGGACCACAGTACTTCATCACAGTACTTCATCTTCATCTATCTCTAAAACCCTGTCCCTGTATCTGCTGTGTCTCAACAGGGTCCAGAACGTCTCCTGGACCAGATCCTGGACCAGATCCTCCTCCAGACCAGGGATTTTACTGCGAGTATCAAAGCAGCGGACTGGTATGTTTCTTTTCCTGTGTGAGATGGAGAGGGGGAGAGGTTAAGTTTGTGCAGGCTTGGTGGATGGGGGGTGAGGGCGGTGAGGGGGGGCTTTCTCACACAAGATGGAGGATGAAGGGACAAAGGTGGCATTCATTGGCCCAGGAATGAAAAACATTTTCCCCCTGAAAACAGAGACGCTAGAAATGGCCGAGGTAGAGCTGAAGGGCCCCGGACCAGGTTAGCGTGGAGAAGTCACATGGTCCGACACGTAGATGACGAGACACAGAGACAGATCACTGACACAGTAGGCCTTAATTATCCACTCATTAACATGAGATCATGTCATCACCTGGAGCTTATCTCTCTGAGAACCCAAAAATAATTATCATGTGACTCAACACGAGTGTGGTGGACCCCTACCTGGACCGTCAACGGTGCGGTTTTAAAATATTTATTTAAATCAGACCAGCAATTGGTAATAGTTTAATAAAAAATAAATAAAATAAAATAAAATCCAAAAACCCAGGGTGGAAACTGCTGCTAAATGTGAGTGCCTGCCGAGCCCTCTAGTGGTACGTCACCAGAAGTCCCCAGGCTAGCAAAAGAGAAATAAACACAGAACCATCGTGTTCCTAAAACACAATAATCGAAAAGACAAGGTCAAGTTCTTGTACGGTACTTTATGGTACGGTACGGTACCATAAAGTACCAGTACGGTTCATAGATACAATAGGAGTGTGATACAAGTCAATAGTTTCTCTGTAAATGGCAGGTAATTAATGAAACTGGGACAAAAAATAAATAAATTCAGAAGAAATTGAAATAATAATAATAATTTAATCACATCGAGAAAACTTTTTTTTTTAAGTTTTAACAAGAAGCCGGGAAAAAAATAATAAAATAAAAATCTTTTCAAAAGTGAGGCCTAGAAATGAAATGTAAAATATAAAACATAATTTGCACAAACTGGAGGAGTAAAAGATACACAATACACAAGGAGTAAAACTTTAGTCTCACAGTAACATCAAACATCAGGAAGTAAAAAAAAAGTTCTTTATTATGTATTCAAAAGTGTGTGACGTGTCTCACTGTAGACCTAGACCTGGGCCGTGGGCTGACTACGCCACCTACAGGACAAGGCAGAGAGAATTGAGTGTGAAAGTGACGAGACCTTATCAAGAGAGGGCGCTGTGACACAGTAGAAGAGATGACACACCTGTTAGTGTTGACTGTCAGACAGCACGTGTACATGTACCGGCTGTTCACTGTCATTCCTGACGCAACACCGTGATGACGTCAGTGATAAATAATTAATTTAAAAGTCGATGTAAAAGAACTTTACAAAATAACATAAAAGAATAATTATTTATTCATTTAACTTAAATCAAACTTTAATTATAAAAAATATATTAAATTAAATATGACTACACCAAACAATATATATATATGGATTTTAGATTAATTATTGTTTATTGTTATTATTACTTAGGTCAAACTAATTTAAATAAAATAGTTATAATAGAAATATTTTTATCTTTTTGGAATGATGATGAAATAATGAATAGTTCTGTCTCTTTATTAGTTTTTTTCAATTTTATTTATTTATATAATTTTGTGCTCTAACAAAACAAAACAAAACAAACAATTAAACTCTGTTTGTCACGTGTTTGACTGAACACGTGACAAACAAACATTCATATTTTTTAGTCTATCAAAATAGTGAAAACTTTACTTTATGGCTCTGAGATAAAACTAAACTTTTGAACTCACCACAAAGTGTCAGTTAAAATGACTCTTGTTTGAAGTACTCACTGGTAGATAACAGGAGAGATAACAGACAGGGTGGTCTGTTGATCAGTCTGAGGCAACACTGTCTGTGTCAAAGCCCATTACTGGTCTGAAGACCACAGGGCCCGGGTCACTGAACGTCTACTGAACAGCTACGGGTGTTGGGGGGGGGGCAGAGAAAGAACACCTGAACACCTCACCTTCCACTGTACGACCTTTGACAATGCACTGCCTGAAAAGTTTTCGAACCACTAACCTGGGAATCCTGCAGCTGTTTAAAAATGCAGGGATCACCGCCAGACCTGGAGCTGACGCCGGCGTCCTGTCCCGGACACAACCTGCCGCTCCTGCCCCCTGCTGGGTCATAGCATCACCCGTCATCCACAGAGCCTTCCACCAGCAGCAGGGCCCAGATGTGGACCAAGGACACTCCAAGTAGGTCCGCAACACGCCGAAACCACGCTGCATCAGTCACAGGCTGATTAGAAATATCACTCATTAATGAGCATTTGTTACTATTATGATGTAAACACAACCAGCAGAGGGAGCAGTCGCTACTGAAATATTCTTTTTTGTTTGTTTAAATGTGCAGTTCCACATTCAGAGACTGAAATGTTTCGTGTTGTGTCAGTGAACAGTGCACCTGTTTGATCAAAGTCGTGTTTAATATGGACTCAACATCCCATAATTCCACTCACGGTCGCTGTAAAACACAGTTGATACACAAGTGGTTATTTACACACCTTGTGGGGAAGCGTCGTCTTTTCACTGAAAAAAGCCTGAGATTTTAAAAAAACATGACTGGTGATAATTCTATCTTCCTGCTGTTTCTGTTCCGACATTTTACACAAATATATAGTATAATTAATGATGTTGATTTATTCTAAACTTGATTAATCGCACTTAATTATGATCCTGATTAATCCACGGCTGATTAATGTAATCTGAGTTGAGTTGATTGACGGCCCTGCTGCAGTTTATAACTGGTTGTGAAGAGGAGGTTACGTAATGTTATCACTTCACAGGTGATAGGAAAACTGATAAAACAGAGAAAAAAAAGATTAGAAAAGATAAGAAAACAACACAGACCGTCGTATCTCACACAAACAACAGTCGTACGGTAGTAGATAATCTGGTCGGACGTTTTCATCTTCATCTGGAGCCTTTCATTTCTTATCAGAATATTAGATAAGAAATATTTTCAAATACGACTCAAGTTGACTAAGTACATGATAAGTTTATACTATATATATACTGTATATATATATATATACTTACAAAGAATCTTTCTTCTTCTTCTTCTGCCAGGAGCAGACTGATATCCAGTATGGAGGACCTACTGTTCTACACCATCACTGAGGGCAAAGACATGGTCCCTCTGTCCCACTTCATTACTGTGAGTCCACTGCACCGTCACATGTCGTCTGTCC